TAATAACTGGAGAAGAAATAAAAAATCTGTGTGTGTTCTCCAATACAATGCCCATATGAAAGATGTTGATTGTGCAAATCAGTACCTCTCATACTACACCATTTTCAGAAAAAGAGTGAAATGGTCAAAAAAGGTAGTACTTTATCTAATAAATTGCGGCCTTTTCAATTCATATATAATCTATAAAGCCCTGAATCAACAGAAAAAAATAAAATATAAGCAGTTCCTCCTCTCTGTGGCAAGAGAATGGATTACTGACAAAGAGAAAAAAGGCTCACTGGAACTAGAGAGGAATGAACTCGGTCCATCATCTGAAGGTACAATGAGAGCCCAACATAAGGGTCACACAGGAAGACTGTCTGGTGACATGAAGTAGCATATTCCTGTGTTATTTCATCTACAGGAAAAAATAAATTTCCTACCAGAGCCTGCAGAGTTTGTACTGCCCATGGGAAAAGAAGTGAAACACGATACATATGCATGTTTTTGTGCAGTTCCACTCCATATAGGAAAATGTTTTACAAGATACCACATTTTAAAAATTTACTAGGTGTCTTTATGTACATACTCTGTAAGTTTCAAATAAATAATAAAAATATAGTTGAGTTATGAACAAAATAAAACACGTCCAACTCCTTTCAAACTCAACATTTTAATAAATGGCACACAAAGATGCTCTGCACAAAACATGAGTAAACTCATAACCTGTCCACAATGTGTTAACAAGCAGTTACATTCTTTAAAATTAATCTCAACACCAATACCAGTTACATACCAGTGTCCCTATCTTTGGCTTTGTACACCTGTCCATAAGTACCTTCTCCAATTTGACAAATTATGTCAAACATCTCTACACATCTCTCTCCCCAGTTTGGAGATCTCTCTGTTTCTTCTTCCACTGGTTTAATTATACTTGAAATCAAAATAAATAATGTTATTTTTAACAATTCAAGGAAGGAAAAAAAAGAGAAATGATTAGATATGACAGATTACTAGAAAGAATGCTTGAAATTAATCACTGTTCACACAACATTTACCACATTTGATTGTAAGCAACTTTGATCATACATTTTTACCCTTCTTATTCTACAGCAAGCACACAATAACATTTAGGAAAAGCCTTATTTGTTACATTCCTACACTCATTACAAATATTTATGATCAACAAAAAAGCATTTTTTTAATAACAAGTAAAAGTGAAAACCATTCATAAATCATTGTTCTTCCATTTCCTCCATTTTATCAACATAAATAACCTCTACATTATAAAAGTTTTCTAGTCATGGACATACATTTATTACAAGTGTGAAGTGCCAAGTTATATAATGTTTTAAAAAACAACTCACATAAATCAACTACTAAGACCAATTTACTATCAGAGTTGTGAGTTAGAAGATGCTTCAGAAAAACACCTTTACACTACAAAGCTTTTGGATAAATACAAAAATGACAAGCCTTTAAACTGTAAATTACAGGAAGGTTTAAATAAAAAGGAAGCTGAGTGTATAAAGAACTAAGACAAAACATTAAGTAGCATGACAAATCTAAAGTATATGAAATTTTATAAACACTTGAGCTAAAAAAGGTATTAAAAAATTTTGTAAATGATCCACTCATTCAGAAAATGCTGTATA